CTTAACTATAAGCCATGGCTATTTGTAAACACATCATTGAATCCATGTGTTGTGAGGGAGGAGGGAAGGAGTGGGGGGAAAGAGAAAGAGAGAGACCAAGAGAAACAGTGGAGACAGAAAGGGTAGGGAGACAGACAGACAGACAGAGGTGAGAAGGAGAGAGAGTTCACACAATGAGGGTAAGCCCCTTGAGGACAGAAATTTTTATCTTACTAAATTTACTTATTCAGAACTTATCACCAGTAATATCACCCCTATGTGATAAGGAATGAGTCATTTGTCTGCAGCAGATGTCCCCAGGTGACTGGGATATTTATTGCAGGTCTAAGGGTGATTTGTAAAAACCCCTCTCTGGATTTTGCAAAAAAAAAAAAAAAAAAAAGGACACCTACGCTGTTACATTTCTAAAATTAGAACTAGACTTCCATTTATTTATATTTTAATGAGGGCTTGTTTTCAAAGTAAAACAACCTTTCTGGAGCTACCACTAGCAACTAATAAATTGGGAATAAATAAAATATGACACTGTAAACTGCACCCCCATAATCTATCATCTGCACATCTGCTGTGGACGGTGAGAGACAACAATAACCCTTTGGTTTAATTGGGCTCATGAGCAGGAGCATATGCGTGATAATGGTCCCATTGACATTGCTTTGCACCCAAGGAATGAAATTAATGCCTGCTAGCATATGAAGCTCTACAGGGTCCTCTCTCCCCTGGAAGTACTGCTATTAGCACAAACAGGAGTCAAGCTTGGGCTTTAGGGTTCCAAAGGCGCCCTTGGGGTGCAGCAGCAGAAAGGCTACCCAATATTCAATGGGGCTGTGCACTCCTGAAATGGCCTGCACTTATCAGAGGGGGCTCTCTGCAGGTCTGGCTGCAACCTTAATGGAAGTGCCTGGTAACGACAGCTAATTGCATATGCGAGCATATATATTGACATGTGTAGTGTGTCTCTCTGTTCTTTGCTCCAGAACTGGATGGTGTACTGTGCTGGGAATAGTAGAAGCTCACTGCTTATCCTATGCCTCGTGCTTCGTGTCAGTGGCTCTCTCAAACATGGCTCTGGTGAATTCCATCCTTTATGGTACCAGGAGGGCAGTTTAATTCTGGGCGCTTCTTCCATCAGAGAGTTAAAGCAATGCCAAGGAAGCTACCAGACAGATTCAAAATGTACATCCCACTCCTGTTTCCCTAGGATGGGTGCAAGCCCCAAGCTCACCCATCAAGGGCAGGATAAGAAAGAAAAGCATTATCACACTGGTATCCTGGGCGAGAGCAAGCACAAGGGGTGGACTCTTCTTCTAGGGTCCTGTCGTCTGTTTCTAGCAGGCTTACTTCATGGAGATCCCGAAGGTCACCCTGCCCCCACCACCTGCACCGTGGAAGTCAGCTTCAGGAGCATGCTCCTAGTTACTATGGGGCTGGAAACCCAGCCTTCCTGAGCCCAGAGCCTGGAAGCTGAGTAACACAAGGCAATTATCTGTTTTGAAGGAATCCTCTGATTTGACATTCTTAAGGAGTCACAGACGTCTGATTTCATAATATAATTTGTAGAAGTAAAAAAGGCGAGTTAAACATTTGCTTACACATATCATGTTTACATGTGTTCAAAGAACTTTCCAGAACTTTGCAGTCTCATCCAACGGCATCTTTTTTAAGCTCGCTTCGCTCTTGTAGGTTTGCAAACAAATTCCACAGCACATTCAACCGCAAATTGATTTACTTTTGGGGAAAGTCCTCGAGTTTCGCGACTTTCTTCGTGCTGTTTAATGTACACACAGATGTAAAAAAGAAAAAACAATCTCCTTAGACAGGAACACAAATCTGGCATTCGGAGGAGTTGGTTTTTTTTTTTTTTTCATTTATTCTCAAAATGAAAGGAAAGCAGCAGTGGATATGATCCAGATTGCCAAGCAGCGTACAAATGACTTCTTGGGCCCTGCCGCAGTAGTGACTGACAGCCATGGCTTGGGCAGGGTGGATGAGGGAGAGAGAAGCATCCCGCGGGAAGGAAGCTATGTTCCACTCAGCACCCAGCACCATTATCCAATGGCTGCAGAGACAGGAGTCATCTTCAATTGCCTACTTCCTCTCATCTCCCATGAGTTAGATCCCTATGTCCCATGTTGGTGGCTGCTCCATCCCTGGGCTGTCCACTTGCTCTGTGGCACTATACTGTTCATTGCTCTACCCTGAGGTTCCTAGTGGGAGCCGCCTAGCTGATCTAGCTAATTCTACACTCTTCGTATTCCATCTCACGCTCTTCACTGCTGCCAGAGAGAGAGCGAGTCTGAACCCACACCTCAGATATACTGATACCCGTGTTAAAGCCACAAGGATTCCCCTTCCACCCAGCCAAGGGGCTGCCTCCTTAGTGCAATGCTGGAGACACATCTCACTGTCCAGCCATGTCCTCAGGTGAGCTCCCTGTCCATCCTGGTGACGTTGGCACTCATGGTTCTATTGACTGGGAAAGTCTCCCTGATGTGTTTCAGTCTTGAAAAACTCTTGCTCCTCATTCAGAACACTCAAAGATGCTATTTCTAGAAATAATCTGAACCAACATAGGGCCGGGATGTTGTTCCCTATGTAGAGAACGCATACTTCTTTTCTGTAGTGTCTTAGTGTCTGCCAGTCTATAGGCTTTCTTCTTCTCTCTCTTTCAGTATGCTCCGCCCCCTCTGTGTGTGTGTGTGTGTGTGTGTGTGTGTGTGTGTAGTGTAGTGTAGTATGTGAGTGTGTGTGTCTGTGCAGGTGTGCATGCACATGTTTATGGAGGTCTGGAAGTCAATGTCAAGTGTCTTCCTCAATAGGTCTCCACCATATTTTTGGAGACAGGGTCTCCACTAAACTTGGAGCTTGTTGACTTGGCTAAACTGGCTGCCAGCAAGCCCTTCTGTATCTGCTTCCTCAGTGCTGAGTTTATAGACACATGCTATTGTGCATGGCTCTTATGTCGATGCTGAAGACCTGAACTCAGGCCCTCGTGGTTGCTCAAGGAACACTTTGTTCCATCCAGGAATCTCCCTGGCCCCCATGTGCCGTTGACTCGTGTTTATTCTGATAAAATCCAGCTTTTATGAGAGATGAACTGTGCTTCTCAGGGTTTTCCAAAATCCCGTGTCCTTTATCATCATGTGCAATAGTAAATATGATTTCTAAAGGCTATGTACACTGTATGCAATGTTTCAAATAAAGAAATAGATGATTAAACCTGTCCTTGAAAGCAGAATATATATAATAATGCCAAAGGTTTTGGCTCAGAGGCAACCTACAGTGTCCCAAACTTACTGCAAACAAAGAAATAGGATTCCCATATCATGCTAAGGGACCTAAACAAAATGACCACACTCTATTGACTTCTCATCCTCAGACATCATCCTCCTAGGCAGATATCTTCTGCCCTGGTACCCAATGGTCTGACCTGAAAAGATGCTCTTTAAGAAGACTAACTCCCATGAAGGGCTGGAGATCCTAGGAGAGGGAGGGCAGGGAGTCTTCTCCTTCAGTTGTGAGGACAAGTGCTAGTATGGCCAAGATCTAGGAATGCCAAGCTGATGCTATCTTGGCTGGAGTTTAGGACAGTTCTTTGCCCTGCTCCCTGTACCCATTCCCGCCCACTCCTTTAGAGGTGGATACTGGTCTTTGTGAGGCATCTCCAGCAAGATGCTGAAAGTGCCAAGGACCATATCCCCAGCTAAATGGATCCACTGAATGCAGCATTAATAGCATGGAATTAAGGAGGCCGAAGTTTACCAACAAACACATCCTCCAATCTGCCTGACTGCTGTCCCTCAATAAAGGAGCATATGTCCAGCCGCCTGCCTTCCAAGGTTTTGGGGTTTGCTTTTGCTTAATTGTTTTTGAAAAGTTAGTAAATAACTCAGTGTCTGGGCTGTGAAGGTCTCATTTGTATGCAACCTGGTTGGCAGCCGGCGGTCCTGGGCAGCCCTCTCTTGCAGCCAGAGCATATCCATTAAAGCTTGGAAACCCACAGTGTTAATAGGAACCAGGCAGGGAAAGTGAGCTTAGACCAGGAATGTGTCAACAGGGACTCCAGCTCTGCTCAGCTGTGTGGGACCCAATCCTGTCTCATACAGGCAGCCCTGGAGCGTCTCAGGAAAGGTCTTGGCAAGGGTACCAGGTCTGAGACCTGAGCCTTTCTGGGTCTCTTCATCCAAGCTGATGATTATCAGAAGCTTCATCCCATCCCAGTTGCTGGGGTCACTCTGATGCTAAAAACCTTGGTGTCCCCATCTCCTACCTCCCAGCTTGTCTACTTTCCTCATCTACACCTATTCATCTCCATCCCCACTCGACAAAATGGTCAGAAACTCAAACATTCCACTGAAAGGGTGCAGTCTGGCAGAGCCAGACATGAGGAAGAAGAGGAGGCTGAATGAGATGGAATGGTAACCTTTCCCAAGGATCACATCTACAGAGCTTTGACGCATGTCCCCCAGAGCCCCAGCCTTCAGCTACCCTGTGCGAACAGCACTTCGTGCTATTTGTAGATGCCCATGCCCAGCATGGAAGCTCCATCCTCTGAAGCCAATATTTCTGCTCCAGCCAAGGTGGGTAGGTATGTGTGTGCTGGAGCAAGAGGGGACTCCATACAGGGGGACCAGGAGCTGAGGGGACAGAAGCTGAGGCTGTGTCAGGGTCCTGGCCATCAGTGCAGAATTAAACATCTGCAGAGAAAGTGGCCAGTCAAGAGTTCACTTCACCTTTTCTCTCTCTCTCTGTGTGTGTGTGTGTGTGTGTGTGTGTGTGTGTGTGTGTGTGTGTTTTATACTGTGTCTTGTTTTTCAGCAAAAACGTGCTGATTCATGTGGGACTGCTGCCCAGAAACTTCCAACAAACATTCTGGCAACTGAGGGAGATTCCACTAGATGACTTGGGTCTGGGGTAGGGGTGAGGAGGCTATGCGATTCTTATCAGCAGAGGGGAGGGTTAATTTTCATTGTAGAAAACTTGAAAATACCAAACAGATACAAAGATGCAAACTATCTATGACGGCATCACCCAGGGATCTTGCTTACTTCATCATCCAAATATTATTTTAGATATCTCAGATCCATGGGGACAAGGTTATGCTCTGACTCACTGAACCAGTGAAAATAAATCGGATGCTTTCAATCTGCTGAGGTCATTTGGGGAATCTACACAATCAACGTTGCAGTGTGTATGGACTCTCCCTCCGCTATGCTCTTCAGGGACACAGTCTTCTTATTTGGGGTAAATACTGGTTAATTTTCTTTTTAAAAAATATTGGGAGCTGGGAATAGAACCCAGGGCTGTGTGTAAAGCCAGTGACATACATACATACATACATACATACATACATACATACATACATACATACATACATATATACGCATGTATCCTTAGTCCTGCCCTCTTCACTTTTTAGTTTGATTTTTTATATTCTCTCTCTCTCTCTCTCTCTCTCTCTCTCTCTCTCTCTCTCTCTCTCTCTCT